TCTTATGCTCCCTTAATTATGTATATCTTTTCCTTAACAAACCTTAAAAAAAGATTTCAGATGTTACAAGTCTAATTAAAGAGACAGACAAAGCACAGTTTATACTGTAGACTTTTTTTTCTGCAGTTCAATTAATCAGCATGTTTTCTCTTTTAATTAAAACCATTTTAGTAAATTAAAGCCCACAGCAAAACACATATATAATTTGTTTGTAATTAGCTCTTAATTGGTGGTAGTTGAAGCTTAGCACCCTTGGTTTCTTTCTTCATGATTGCCATTTTATTAGCAGCCAGTCATTAATTAATCTTTTTTTCTAATTAGCTTATAAAACTGTTGATGGCACATTATTGTAAATGTGATTTTAAGTTCAAAGCTTGTTAATAAGCTTTCTTACTTAGAAGAACAGAGATAAAGAAATTGCTGAAAACAGTACTACAGTTCTTTTTTTTAAAACTGCCTTTCTTATAAGGGGGATGTGTAAAGCATCTAACAGCTTATAGTTAATTTTTTAATGCTGTGTTTTCTCATGAATGGAAGAAGTTACTTGCATTTAAATGTTTAAATCTAGCAAAGAGTTTAATATGACAACAGTTTTCTGTCCTTGCTCCATTACTGTGTCACCCAATTATAATTTGATGTTGTAATACACAGCATAAAAATACAACAAAGATATTACAAAGTATTTTACAGTGGAAGTTGAGCACATCATTGAAAGGGGACAATTTTCACTGCAAAATCCACTCGGTATTCTTGTTTGCTTTATATATTTTATATACGTCAGCAATGGATAACATTCCATAACATAAAAGGAGAAAATCATTGCTAAAGGCAAGCCTGAAATAACTAGATTCATATTTGATGAGAAACTGTAACACCGTATTAGAAGGCTGTTTGGTTTCTCTGGCATGATCACAGGATGTTTCAGGACCTGTTTGAATATAGATGTTTTGTTAGAGCTTCTATAGGTTTAGCATTTTGTATATCATACCTAATTATTTCTGGAGCAGTTCTTGAATTTGTTGTCTCATTGCTTGTGTCATTCAGTGTTTACATTGCACAGTGCGATCTTGGTGAAAAGTCTTTGCTTTACGATATCTAATGTTAAATGTCTTTATTTTCAAAGAAGTTTTCTGGAAGTTACAGTGGATTCTGCTGCAACTTCATAAAAATGTTTACTCTTCTGCCTTAACTTTACATACTATTTCAACTTCAGCCATTTCTTTGCTTGTTTAAAAAGTGTTTTATGATGCTGTGCAAGAAACACTAGAAAGGGATAGCTGACAAGGAAAAAATTAAAAATTGGATAAAAAGTAAATGAATAATGTCATATTACTAAAAAGATGAGAGGCTAATTTGTGCCGACTTTTTGCTAATTTTGTTCAAGCCTCAAAATGAGGAGCTGTCACCCGTTCTGTGTAGCACTGATGACAGTGCCAATGATCCATGAAATAAGCTGCCGCTGGCTTTGTTCTGATAAGAATGAACAAATCTGCACAATGTACGGCTCCCAGAATCTCATTTTCATACTTGCATGCAGGCTAAAAGAAATAAGCTGTTTGCAGGCTTGATTAATCAGACATTTGAGGGTTTTTTGTCTCTTTGATCTCTTTCGTCTCCTAGGTAACTTGCTTGACATTAATGTTGAGCTTGAGTAAAGACAATCAGGAACTGTAGACCAAACTGATATAAAAATTAAAGACCTTAACACTTTAAGTACTCCAGTAATGGTTCCGCTTTACTTCAGAAAACATCTGTTTTCATTTAATTAAAGAACAAAAGAGAACGACATAAATATTTTTCATAGAGACCTGTTATTCCATAAAAAATTAAAGTATGATAATTGGTATTTTTAAATAAACGCCTTGAAACTGTTCAAAAAGAAGCAAAGCTTCAGAAATTTGTTACAAGGTAGCGATTTCAGATGAATAGAAAATTTATGAAAAATAACGGATAAGGAATTTTGACTTGTGCTACATGAAACATTAGAGTAAGATATTTGACATGATTATTGGTCAACTTCAAAATGGAAGGGTCTTTGCCCTGTAGAAACTAAGTTGTTTTTTAAGTTTGTCTTAAAAAAATATAAATATTGTGTTACAAGGATGAACCATTATATCAGCTTTACTACCCAATATGATTTACACACTTTAAACCTGTAAAATTGAAAGGAATTTAAAAAAAAAATGTCGCAGTGCGTTCGCTTGAGGTTATGCAGACGCTTTTACAAATCTTCCAAGTGGCTGTAAAGATGAATGCCTCAAGGGTCTAGCCAGGGCCCTGCTTTTCCAACCAGCTAAAGCCCTTATCTTAAATCCAAGCAAAGTACCATTAATCTTTTTGAAAGACCTTTTATGGCTTTTAATATATCCCAAATTAGAACATTTTACACCCTTGGTTCCTGAAATATGGTGATAAAAAGCCTTTAGAGCTTAATTTTCCTTACTGCATGCTCTGACCAATTTGCAGTTCTTTGTGATAATGTTTAGACACCTTAATTAAAATGCAGCAAAATATTGGATGTTCTATATGGAAAATGCTGATACTTTGACTACACAAGAAATTGTTGTATATATTTTTATTCATGCTTTCTTACTTCTTTTAAGATTGTATTTTATTGAGTTATCTGATGACCTGATTTTTTTTTTTTTAATGTAAAACCCATTGACCAAGCTTTTATGGATTTCTTTTTGGGGGGAGTGAGGATGTACATCTGGTTGTGGGTGGGAGCAGAAGACATTTAATCTGACTAAAATGTTTGTGTGTGTTTATATGTGACATATTTGCTTTCATGTCTTGAAAATTTGACTCTGTGTAGCCTAGAAATGATAACATTAATGCAGCAAAATGTTTTTCCTTTTACTTCCACATACACTACAGAGGATCTTCTTACTCTGTTTTTTTTTCCACACTTTTCAAAGATGGAAGGACTCATTCTGTCTTCCAGGAAATACAGATCAAAAGATTTTTCTGCAGCACTTTTGTAGACCTCACTTGTGTATATTTCTATGTATATACAAGAGGCCACTACAATATATTTTAAGGAGATGCTGTTATTTATCACATAGTAGGAGTTAATTTTGAAGTGTGTTAGGAAGTAAAATGCAGTTCACAAATAAAGGCATAGTTCTGCTGATTGTCCGATTCCAGCCATCAGATTGCTCTATTTTTTTAACCTAAAAATTAGTCTTGTTTCAATTAACAAGAAAACATTTTTTGTATATTTTAGGTGAGTTTTCCTAAACATTCTTATACTGTAAGTATGTTAAAATTAATTGCTGTCCTTAAATATTAAGTGACAGTGCAAATAGGAGAATGCTATGTTCTAGTTTTTGACTTGAGATTTGGCAGTTCAGATTGATTATATAAAATGTTAGTACTTGAGAAAAATGATGTTGCTAATAATATAACTTTTGAAATGTCTGGTCGCATGCATTATCTTCTGCATCAAGATGGTTCCACTGGTACATATTTATGACCTTATACCTTATATCAGTAGATGAAAAACTTGTCATCTTTATGTATTTTCCTTTTCAAATGTTATGCTTACCTCTTAACTGTTTGTGTTGCCAGAGCTTAGAGCCTGAAACAAAGCACAAACTGATGTTCTTACTGCCTAGATGCATATAGACTCTCAGTCTTCTGCAGAAAGGCTGCTTGCTTGATTCCTGAACCCTGAAAGGACAAGGTAGAATAGCTTGTAACGATGCTTTGGTTTTGCTTTGTTAACAAACTGATCAGGGTATCACCCTACCTCCAGGGTAGGTGTTAGATGGGAGAGCTCTAAATGCTACACCTGAAGATGCGTTCTTGAGTTCTCTCTCATCTTATCTGGATAAAATGCCTCTCAGGAGTAAATAAAAATTGCCTTATATGGATGCCACAGATTAATTAAGTGTATTACCATTAATAATGGAAGCTTAACCAGAGTGTTAAGGAGTGTTCTTTCACCTGGGTCTCCCATGCCTCTCTTGTTTGTCGCTCCCATGACATTTTGGGGAAATTTAGAATATCCAGTCAGAAACATGTTAGCTAACTTCATCAGGTTTTGGACTGGATAAGAAGAAAACCTCTTTGTCCACATCACAGTTTATAACAGTTTTAGCTAAATGAATTGCTTCTTTGTCTTGGGGAAAAATGGTAACTTTTGAGACAAAATCCATCCGTAATACATAATTTAGTTACAAGTAATGTAAAGTCATGATAGCAATCATAAAACATAACTACTGTGAACAAGTTATGAATGCTGTTTAAGGAGAATAATCTGGTCATAGTTCACAGTACCTTCTTCCATCTTTTTTGCTTTATTCTTTCCCCCTCCCCTTGACATTTACTAAAGTGAACTTAATTCTCAGTGTGAATAACTTTATGAAAGTAAAGGAGTATTCACCTACAGCCTGTTATGACCTTATTTGAAAAGCATGCATATTATCACACTAATAATCTAAAACCTGGTAATGCGAAGACTAAATGCCAGATGGACTCTAAGGACACTGCTTCATTTACTTTCTGGACAGAGTGATTAAAACATGACTGCTAGTACTACTTGGAAGTGTGGAGTAGTAGCAGGTCTTCTTGTATAAAACTGTCTTTTTGGGTGTTTTTTGCATTGGTAAGACCTGATACTGTTGTGTTAGCACAGCTGAGGTCACAAACTGGTTTTAATAATAGAGACTGCCTGTGTGTGCATATCTATGTGTATATATTTGTTTAAAAAACAAACAAAAGGATCTAGCAGGCTATTGCCCTTTGGTTTATTCTTTCAAAAGAAGGATTGGGTGAAAAGGATCGCCTTCCCTGCAATCCCACTCCTTTGTATTTTTCTTATGAGACATTTTTGCTCATCTCATCTAATAGTACAGCATCAGCCTAATATTTGAGAGATATTTTAATATCTGTTGACTTCTGAGAAACAATACCAGACCGAGTAATTTGTGAGGCTTAAATTTCGTATGAGCTATTTGCATGTATTCAGTTTTCCTTTGTTCCTTTTTATGTCTTAGCTTGGTGTGAAAATTGCCAAAGCTGCTGTTTGCCGCAACTTCGTAAAAGCCAAGCAAGAAGCAGAGGCTGCCCAAGAAGCTCGAAAGAAAAAGAAGCTTGCTTGGGGGTAAGCCATTTGAGTATGGAATTAAACATTTGTGGTTTCATTGGCACTAAGTGTATACAATGCAGTCTCAGATGAATGTTTTCTTAGTTGGAATAGGCTTGTGCTAATCTTATTTGTTTAATTTAACCTTGTTGGGTTTGGGCGGTATTTTTTTTTGGGGGGGGGGCATTTAGCAGTGTATCAGACTTAAGTACAGAGGCTTTACCAGAATTAGTGTATTGGTTATATGTCTACATTTGCCTTCATTTCTTTATTACAGTATTAAAGATAAGTTTTTATTTTTGTTGTTACTAATAATAGTATGGTTGAATACCTGAAGCACATATGCTCATAATTCCTAACATGGGTTTTGTGCTCTTTTTCAGATTTGAAGCCAAGAAAAGATGGGAAACAAAAAGCAACATGGGATACATGTAATCCATGCTGTTTTCCTCAGGAGTCAGTTACATGTTTTTACTTGAATCTTTGTGGGCGACTTCTTAAATCTAAACACAAAAAAGACCCAAAGCAAAACCCAGCATATCAAATTCCTTGTGTTACTCATAATGCTGTTGGATTGCAGTATCTTGTTTTGGCGCTCTCTTATAATGTAGCAAAAATACTATCTAAACATCAGTACTGTGTTAAATGTAACATTTTGCTCCAAAATATGAAAATCTAAGATAATGCATGGTAGAATGTCTTTGGAGTCTGGTAGAGAACTCTCTAAAGTTGAATTAAATACTTGGTCCAAGTGTGTTGTGTGCTGCGCTGCAGTTATAATGCGTTGGTGTAAGGAGAGGGATGAGTTTTCTGCTAAGGTTGCACTGACTTAATGCAGTAAGGGTCACTTTTCTGATTGCTTGAAAGTTGGGGGGGGGGGGGGGGGGGCGCAAAAAAAAACACACCCC